TGTTTACTCAAGTGGACAATATTATGTAAAGTGCTTTCCACGGTTTTCCTGAAAGGCTCCATTTATTTATAAACTATTGACGGAGTCAATACGTTTCTAATGGGCCACATGTAAAAATCAATTTCTCTAGGAGGGGAAAAAAGTGGAAAAAAGTCATCACAGCAACAATTTGTGTAGGTAAGTGGATGGGTAGATCTACTCAAGGCAATGCTAGTTGGTCACTCGGGTGGGGAGAGAGAAGCTGTGACCTCAGTGAGCTCAGGGACAATTTAGGGGAATATATTTATATCTGTAATTGGATTTCTCTTCCAAAAAAACCACTGATGTGCCTTACAGGTCTTGAACCTCCTCATGCAAGGCCAGCTGGTAAATTTTGGAGGCTGTTCTTCAAACAAGAGCACTTTTAGGAAAATACACTGCCCAAACTTCAACTTCTCTGCAGGGAGATTTGGAGAGAGACAAATCCACAAAGAGTCAAGTGCTGAACGTTGGGACCTGAAAAAAGACAGCTCTTGGAAAAAAAGGGGTGGGAAGTAGGGAAAGAGGGAAAGAGAGAGATTTTTCCTCCTTCCCACCTCTTTTTTTCCAGAATTTCCAGGGAGCTGGGGTGTAGCTGAGAGAATGATTTACCCAAAAATTGGGAATCAAGCACACAAAGTCAGAAAGTAAAGAAGACTGAGGCAGCAAAAGGCAGGGAGGCACAGCCACTGCTTTGTCTAAACCCTCCTTCCCTCATGCTAACTAGAACGAGGAGAAATTGCCTTGGCAGCCTTGCAAAAACCTGATTTGTTTGCCCTGCTAGCACATGCCACTGAAAATATGATCCATAAATCCCGGCAGTGATCGGGGCTCTCCAGAACACTTCGCATCAGCTGCTGGGAATCAGGAGGGCTGGCTGGGCTGGGAGGGGAAATCTGTCACAGGGCAACGAGAGATCCTGCCTTCCTCACTAGGGCAAGGGAGAAAATGGGGTTGGATGGGGATTTTTGGCCAGGGGATGGAGGCCAGGAGTGCCCAAATCTGCCCCTGGCAGCTCAAAGGCCAAACACCACGGCCTGTGCTGGAGCTCACGGAGAAAAATAAGATTATTTCACCACAAAAAGGCAATTTCACAAAACCTAAGCCCTGGTCAAAGCCTCGTCTGTAGCTCCCTGTCCCTCTGCTTGGTTTGACATCATCCCTTCCTTCCAAGGGATGTCACCCTGCTGACAAGCTACAGCAGAAATGTGTCACACTCTCTGGGGGATTGGGACACCAATTTCCCCTCCAGCTCCAGTTCCAGGCTGACAATTCAGCTCAAAAACCTTGTCCTGTATGAAGACCTCTTTATAAATCACCAAACAAAGAAGAGAAAGCAGGAAACAAGACAAAAAACCCCAAACCTGAACTGATTTATCTGGGCTGTGGGAGTTGAACACGGCAGCTGCTTTATCAGCAGCAACACCTGCACACAATTGTGTCAGGGAACAAAACTGCACCCAGTGAATTGCCCTGCCTGACTTGAGGCACTGGGAAAGCTCCTTTACACCTTCCCCCCTCAGAGTAATAATTTTAATTGTTTCAATTATTCCCATCTAATTGTCAAATATTTTGAAATTTAAACCCAGCCTGAGGTCCGGATGTTATTAAAGAAAACAAAACCAAAAAGCAAAACAACAAACCAGACAGAGAGGGAAAAAAAAAAAAAATACAAAACCCAATAGCTACAGAGAATTAACAAGCTAAAAGAATTAATTGTAGCGTGGGGTTTTGGAGGCATCCAACACCCCTCCTACTCTGTGCTGCTGATTTCAGGGATTTCCAGTGCTGGAAGGAACATTTTCTTCAATGCACAGCAGTCTGCTTTCAATGGTCTACTTGTGTATTATTATTATTATTATTATTATTATTATTATTATTATTATTCTGCACATCATTGCCCCCTCACATGGCCGTGAGCTCTGTGGAGACCCAGCCAGCCCTGCCAGGGAGAAGGGAAGGGATGATGAACAGCTCTGAAATCATCCCAGCACCTCTTCAGGGAATTCCATCCCTCCCAAAAGTCCTAGAGCCAGGGAATCATCACCAGGTGGAGATGCCAAGAAGAAAATTGGGTTGGATGGGGATTTTTTTGCCAGGGGATGGAGGCCAGGAGTGCCCCAAATGAAGGATGTGGGGAAGACAAATGCACCAGACCTGAGAGTTCCATTAGGACTCCTGGAAAATTTGCCAGGCTGCTGCTGCTGCTGACAAAAACAGGTCCCTGGAGCTGGCTGAAGGAGGCTGATAATGAATTTGCACGCAGGAAAGGAGCCTGTGGATGTTTTTACATCGGGCTGCTCGCCTCAGCTCCCACAGAAATGTGGTGGGGGCTGAGGGTTCCTCCTCATCTGCTCCAGTGATCTGCTGTGACCAGAGGGACCACCAGGCTGGGACAGAGGGGCCATCACCCCCAAAAATCCCCTCCTGTGCCCCAGCACACAGAGAATTCCCTCCTCTCACACCCAGAGAGAGCAGAGCTGCACCACACCACGAGCTGTCAGCTGGGATGTGCTTATTAAATAAAATTAATGCTAAAAGACAGAAACAGAACTCCCCTCTAGAGCTGCAGGGCAGGTGTTTAATTCAGCATTTTATCCTGTTTTCTCCCCTTTTTTTCTATTTTGCCTGAGATATTTTTCCATCTCCGAGCAGCTCAGTGCTCTGCAGGCTCTCTATTCCCTTTCCTGATGGGTTCTCTCTCCATTTAAGCCATCTTTTTGCTTGCTTCCCTTGACAGTAGTTCACTCTGATTTTATCTTTTCTATTAGGCAGTGATTGCAGAACCTCAGAGGGTTCATTAGGAGCTTGATAATCCCTCCAGATTTATGAGCCTAAATTGCTCACTCCCATCTCCAATCCCCATTTAAATATTACTAATTTCCTTAAACATCTCTTCCATCTGCCCAGGTTTTGTCTGATGTCACCTTCCCATAATGATCCCTGCCAAAAATCCTGTTAGTTCTGCTAAGAGCTGGGCTTTTGGACTGAGTGGTAAAATAACCTGGATAAACAGATTAATACCCTGAGAGAGTGAATGGCAACAAAACTCATTTCTTTCTCACCTGCCATAGCTGCATTCCACGAGATGAATGGGTTAGAAAGGCAAATTTCACCTCCAGCAAATGCTTAATCACACCCGTGCTCAGGACTGGGGTGGGGGTGGAGGTGGGAGCTTCATTTTTAGAGCAGCATCCATGAGATGCTGCTCAGACAACAGAAACGACTCTAAAAAGAAGAATTTTTTATTTTTTTTTTTCAGATTCTGCTGGTGATTTGAGGTGGAAATCCCTCAGTGTGTGCCCAGCCCTGCTCTGTGGGACTGGGAATGGGCTGGGGAGGGCAAGTGGGACAGGAGAAGAGCTGTTGGGAACAATGGAAATACTTCCTGGGAGTGGGAATGGCTGGGATTGGCATTGTGGGCAGATCTGGTGGGGATGGCACTGACCCCCAGCCAGCACAGTGACACCATGACTTGGGGCACACAGCACAACCCCCAGGCTCCCTCCCTGTGCCTGTGCTGCCCGTTCCAAGGGGATGAACAGCCCCAGTGAAGTTTGTCTGGCTGGACTGACCCATGGATTGGACACTGAGCAGAAACCCAGCCAGGAGCTTCATGGCCTTTTCTACTCCTTGAGTTTCTCCCTCTGACACTCCTTCCCCTCATCCCTTCTCCACCCTGTGCCCCAACTGCTGCCACCCCTCCATTTCCCTCCTTCCCCTGCTCCTCTCCTCTCCAGCTCCCTGCCCACACGTTTGGCTCCGTCCCTTCCCGTCTGTCTCCCACCCAAACACAAAGTGTGATTCAGCTCTCGGCTTCCCTGCCAGAAACATTAATAGAAATTAGAGAATAGGAGAATCACTCGGGCTGGGAGGCACCTCCACTTCACCCCCCAGGTTTCCAGCAGCCCCACAGCAGCACTCACAGCTCCTGGTGACACCCCCTTGGAGGAGAAGTTCCTCTGATGTTTATTTTGGGTTTCCCCATCTGCTGCCTCAGCCCATCACCCCCTGAGGGGTTTAACCACACCATGATCCCATTAATGTCATTAATTACGGAGGGCATCCCCTGCTCTCAACATTTATGGGATCATCCTTCCTTTGTCTCAGGGCACGGGGCTGTGATGCCTTCCAGGTGCTCATCCCTGGTTTTTTCCAGCACAGGGAATGGGCTCAGGGGGGTAACAACACCAGCATAACACAAAAAAATCAGGAAAATCAGGAAAACCAGGACAACCAGGACAATCAGGACAATACAGATCCACCCATTTTCTGGAGCTTCCCAAAGACCTGCACATGTCATTGCACCAGCTCCTGTCACAGTGTCCACAATTCCTGCCTTTGGATGCTGCACCAATCGTTTTCCACCTCCCCAAGACCTTCCCAGCTTTGCAGGAATGATGCCTGAAGATTTTTTTTCAGCTTTTTATATATTTTTCATCTATTTGTAGCATCGTAGCTTTTTAATATGTAGTTGTAGAGTTTCTAGTGATTTTCCTGCCCTTTCTCACGTTTTAGAACAATAAGCCAACCCTTCCTAACACATTCTTGAAATTCTGGTTAGTCTGATTTTAACAACAGGAATTTCTAACGAGGACATCTTGTTTTGCACCAGAATTTAAGAGATGTAACAAGACACAGAACAACTCCAAGGGGCAGGCCCAAGGGTTGGTTGCTGGGGCAACTGGTCTCTTGTTGGATGTACCTGTTAGATGAACTAATTAATTAACCTGATAAAAATTGTAGAAATCCGACACCATGTGTGCACAGAAAGCTTTTGTTACAGAACTGCTTTTGGAAATATTATTTTTGATATTATTTGGAAAGATTTTGCCTTTTGATTTTAGGCAGCAGGTGACATCCCTGCCTCCCTCCCTCCCCAACACACGAGGCTCTGCCCAAGGATCCCACGGGTCAGGGGGATCAGCTCCCATTAAAATGACTCCACACTCAGGCAGGAAAAGCTGGGAAAAACTCCTTACCAGATTAGTGAAGATATAGGTGTAATAGGCAGATGCCATCCCCAGTTCAGCTGCCTGTGAAGGAGAGGAAAAAGAGATTAAACCAGAGCCTGACAATCTCCAATCTCCACTCCAGCAAAGCAGAGCCAGGGCCACATTTTGCTTTTTCAAGCTTATCTCTCCTTGCAGGAAGGGAGAGTGGGACACAGCAGCATGGTTAGACCTGGGAAATTAAAGTCTGGGGAAGCAATTTTTCAGCAGGGCTGAGCCTAGCTGAGGTCTCCTGCCCACACCAGCCCTGACAAAGCACCTGCACAGAGGGAAATGACCCAGCTCCAGACCCCTGGGAGCATCCCTGCCCTCTCCATGGCATTCTGAGATGGAATTCAGGGATTCCTGCATCCATCCAAGGACAAACTCTAAGGAAATCACCTGTGGAAAGCTTTTGAACTCCCAGCAGAAAATCTTTTAAACCCCTAAAAGACCCCAATGGTCCACAATGGCTTGGAAAAGTGAGGTGGGTCCTGCAGCCCCAGTTCTGAGAATTACAGAACCCCTTGGGATGAGGAATTTCACTATGTTTTAAGAGGAAAATGAGGATTTCTGTTTATTTTGTGTGTGGATGCTGCTTTGCTCCTGTTTTGGGACATAACGAGGGAAAAGAGCAGCTGAGAGCTCCAGGCTTGTCCCTTCCACCACAAACACCATGATGGAGAGAGGAAGGCAGGAAAAGCTCTTGGGAGTTACAGGAAAAGAACAATCAAGTCAGTGGTGGCTTTCCAGTTTTATCAGTCAGATTTGGGCTCAAATCCCACAAATTAATGAGCATGGATGAGACCCAGTAACTCAGCTCTGCTCTTCAGAACTGAGACAGGGCTGTGCTGGCCACAGAAATAGAAGAAAACAGGGCAAAACTGTCCAGGGATGCAGAGAGAAGGACACAGAATTTTCCATGGGGATGATCTGTTCTAGAGATCACAGAGCGGATAACTGAGGCCCTTTCCCAAAATTCTCACTACACAAGGAGCTGGTTGTGGGAACAGATGCTCAGGAAAGTGGGGCATTAATCTGCAGATGCTCCTGGAAGCCTCTGTTCCACTGCCAAGCACAGCTGCTCTCAAATCAAGCTTCCAGACCCTGGCTAAGAGGTTTTCCCAGCAGTCCAGACCACACAGAGGAATGGGAGGCAAGGAGGGAAGGAGCAAAGGCAGCACCTCCTGGTGTGAGTCCCTTTTTATCCCTCCCAGAAGCTGTGATGACAGAAAGGAGGGAAGGAAAGACAGAAGGAGGCAGCTGGGATTGCACCTCTCCCTTTTCCCGTCTTTTAGATGTTCCTGTGCAAACCTGAGGCCACCAGCACTGCTGTGCCCAGCCCCTAGGCTGCACATTGTCACCCTGTCCCTCGCCCAGGTGGCACAACAGACACAGCAAAGCCATTGCTCCAAGGAGTCCCCAAACCCAGAGGAGGCCACCTCATTTTTCACCCCCTCCACAGCAAAACTTAGCACCAATTCCCCCTGCTCATCCCTTCCTGGAGACAGTGACAATGCCAGCTCTCCCTGTGACCCACTTTGAGGTCAGGGTGTTTGGTTTCAAGGGTAGAAAATCAAGGTGAGCAGCAAAGCAGTGCCTCTCCCATTCATTCACCCAGCCCTGGCAGCTGGGAGCTGGGAATCTGGGAACCATCCATGTGTCTCCAGCCCATCTGTGGAGGGTGAGGAATGAGAAACTGTGAATTCCTGCTCTCCTGGGACAGACCCAGCAAACCCACAGAGCGATTTCCTGCTGTGGGACAGGATGTGGGTTCACCTGATGCTCAGCACCACCATCCCTGGCTCCCAATAAAACACCTTCCAGCCTCCCAAGGTGCAAGAAATTGTCAGACCAGGAGCTCTTGATTTATTACCCTCCATTCCTCCAGTCCTCTAGCTGGAAGAATTGGGTTTGACTGGGAAATGCTGGCAATTTCTGACATTTCTCAGGGGTGGCAGAAGGAGGCTGGAGCTGGGCAGGGAGATGTGGGTGCCTGGAGAGAGCTGCTGGGAGCCTGTGGGAAGTCACTATAGCAACAGAGAAGGGGGACAGCCCTCAGCAGCCAGGAAGCAACAGGGGAAAAAGGGGAAAAAACACACCAAATAAACCCCCCTGAGTAGACAACCCCAAAAAATCCCTCAAACTGTCTATTTAGAAATGAAAACTGCATGTAGTGGAATAAAAATATTTTGGGGGGAGAGAGGACTGATAAAAACATCCCTGCTGGATGTCACTGGGGTTAACCTGACACAGGCAAGGACTTTGGATGACACGTTCTGTGACAAAACAGGCAGGACAGTGTGGAAAGCCAGGGGGATCCCAGTGCTTGGATCTTGACTCCCTTCAGGAATGTGCTTCTTGTTCCCTCCAGGATGTGGGAAACTCTGCTCCATCTGGAGCCACTGCTCAGTTTTGAAGCAGGCTATCAAAACAAGTGCTAGAAACTGCAGCCAGAGACCATTTAAAAATAAACAGGATTAAAATAAAATCTCGGTTAATAAGACAATAAAAAGAAAAAGAAAGAAAAAGTTAGACACATAATGGGAAGGGAAAAAGGAGGCACAAGAGTCATTTCAGAGGGCTGAGCAGTTCTTCACAGCTCCTGGATGGCAACACCGCTTGTGGAGAGCACACAAATCCCCTCAGAGCAATTCAACCATCACTTGCACAGACCCAGCCCTGGAAATTCCATCAGTGGCAATTCCCCTCTGGGCAGAGCCCATTCCCAGCACTGCTGTGGGAATTTTCACATTTCAATTGATGCCTTAAGTTTTAGCTTTTCTGCTCTAGGCCAGCCTTACAAGACATCACAATATCTCACAAGAGCTGGCTGGGGGGAGCAGCAGCACCCCGAGGGACAGGGGAGGGATGCTCACTATCGATGCAAGGCGACCCCAACGTGGGAATAATGTGCTCTGACTCTAAATGACTTCAGAAGGCTGAACAATTGCTTTGTTAAGCTACACTATATTATACTATATTACACTATATTAAAACTACACTAGAACTATATTATACTAAAAAGATACTAAAGAAAAACCTGTGACTGTCTCCGACTGTCATGACACAGCTTTGACTAACTGGTCAATCAATATAAATAACCATCACCAGAGTCCAATTAAGAAATAACTTTTGGTAAACAATCTCCATAACACATTCCTCATGTGCCAAACAACAGGAGCAGCAAGTGAGACAAGAATTGTTTTCTCTTTGTCTCTGAGCTTTCTCACTGCCTTCCCCAGGAGAAATCCTTGGGCAAGTCATGCTTGCTGCTCCCTGGGAATCTCACCTTCTGCAGGATGGTGTGGGACATGGAGGCGTTGGCATGGATTTAGGACTCATTGCATGGTCCAGCAGGGAAGGAGAAGTGATGGAGCTACTCCAGCTCTTCTCCAGGAAAATAAAGCATCCCCAGACTCATCTTGGGAAGAGATAAGACCTTCAATACAAGCTCCAGACAAGGTCTCCATTATCTCCCTGCATGTAGGATTGTTCTGCTTACTGGAGGATTATTCCTCCCCCTCACCCTTTGCATTTCCAGCTCCCAAATTAAGTGCTCAGGAAGGTGCAGCTTTTTTGGAGCTCTTGGAGCATTCTGATGGGTAGCTGCTCTCTTCCAAGGGGATGAGAAGCTCTGCTGAGAGCTGGAGGTCACTGCAAAAATACAACATTAAAAAATCGTGACAAAAATAAGGATGGGCACGTCAAGGGCTCCTTCCAACACAGCTGCCTTGAAGCCTAATAAGATGTCAAAACTCCTGCTGCAGATTTTGTTAGTCAAGAAAGCAGTTTTGATAGAGCCTCTCTTGTCTCCAGCTGCTGAGTTTCATCAAGAAATAACCTCCTGCCAAGTTTGATTGACCAGAGGAACCAGCAGATGGATTCATCAGCAAGACACAGACAGCATAGCCACACATCCCATCCCCTCAGGAAGACAACCCCAAAAGAGGGGGGAGACCTGAGCTGGAGAAACAGAACTATCAGCAGGATCACAGCCCAGCTGGCAGAGAGGCAAATTAACCCTCAAGTCAGAGTTTTACTCTTAACCTGACTTATTTTTGACTGCATGAATCCATTCATTCCCCAGCAGGTCAGGAGGCAGGGAAGGGTCACAGCGGGGTGGGATCAGTGCTGAAGCCATGCTCTCAAGGACTGCTAGCACTTCACCAGGTGACAAAGCAGTGCAGGAAAAGGGACACATCCAAGATGAGGAGCCTCTCGTTCCCAGGGAGAGGTTTAAAGCACTCTGAGTTTGCTCTGAGCTCCTGACAATGCCCTTGCCTCTCCCCTTTTCTCTGGGTACAGGTAAGAACACAGCAAGGAGTTATAAAAACAGCTGTGCCAGGACTTTTCTGGGTCACGTCAGCTTCTTCTTCTTCCTCACCAGGCAGAGAACTCACTCTGCTTACAGCACACAAGGACTTCACCTGAACACTTCTTTTGTCTTCTAACCAGGCAAACAGTGAATTTTACATAAGCCCTCCATTTGACCCCTGAGGATGTAGAAAGGTTTATTTTCCCCTCATTCCACATTTGCAGGGGACCAGAGAGACTGCTGCAAATCACAGCCCTGACACTACCAAGTTTACTTGCAGCTCATCCCAGCGAACCCTGCAGCTCTCAAACCCAGGAACATGTTTCTAAAGCTCATCAGGCACAGACAGGAAGAAGTGGAACCAGGAGAAAAAAAAAAATCATTTCATCTCCACCTTCAGCTCAAGGAAATTATCATTTCCAGCACGTTAGATCCTACCTGTAGCCTCATCCAGCCTCCTGCTTGCAGCTGCTTTTGCTGTGTGCAGGGAAGTCTCTATTGTGCAGAGATTCCCCTTTGTTTGATGCTGAGAGGATGTGAGACTCTTGCTGCTGCTGCTGCTGCCAGACTGGCACTTCAGAGGGATGTGAACCCCAGCAAAGGCTTGCAGACTCCTCCAGGCACCTTTGAAGTACCAAAGTGAGGACAGAGAGGCTGCACCAGGCACCTGCTGCTTGAACACTCCCATGGGGAGCTCTGAGAGAGGTTCAGGCTGGCCTGTGGCAAGTCCTGACCTTGATTATTTGATTTTTCCTTGTGCAAACATCCGGAGCTGGCAGGAGCAGCCCCACTCCCGAGCTCTCAGCAGCAGAGCTGCTCCTGGGAAGGAGGAAAGGCAGGAGCTGGGGCTCTCCTGGAGTGCCACATCCCTGTTTAGTGCTCCTGCTGATGGAGGAGCTTCAGGGCTGCTGGTGGTTCCACTCCTGGACATGGATGGTTGGGAAGAGAACATTCCCATCATCCAACCTCGCTTTTAATCCCAACACTGGTGCTTCAAACATCTCCCTGGGTGTTTGTATTTTTAACAACAATGTTTTAAAAAAGGACCAAGGATGTGCACAAGGCCTTGGACCTGTGCCCTGGTCACCCTTCCCAAGCACTGGATGTTATTCCCTCCCCTCTGGCAAACAGAGAAGCTCCTAAAAAGTCCATGCACTCCTCTATTTGCCTTTCTGGGTTAAGATTTCTGTGGAACCACACAAAACCTTCCAGAGCAGCTCCAAAACCAGCTAATTCTTAAACATCACAGAGCAACTGAGCATTCTATCCACCAAACCGAGTCACACAAATCTCATTCTATTCATGGCATTACATTTTACATTCCCCAGGGCATTACACTTAGGCTGGCCCAAGTTCTTTGACTTTAAGGGTCATTTTCTGCTTCTGCCAGGAGAAATCACAGGCAGTCCCCAGAGGAAGGATGTGACAGGATGAGTGTGGCAGGGTAGGGCCCAGGGGTCCCATCACACAGCCTCGCACTTAAACCAAAGCAGCTCCAGCTTGCCCCTCCTGGGATCTAAATAATAACATCCCTCAAAACAGCATTTCCTCACTGATAAGCAGGCAGCTCTTATGCTCCCCTCAGCTGCCTCAAGGGAACCTTCCAAAAGCCTGAAATGCCTCCAGTTAGTTGTTTAAGGACTGTGCTTAGGAGCAGTGCATGTCCTAAGGGAAAATCAGGGTTTGTGCTCCTACATGAAGCTCAATTAAGCCTTGACTGTGCTCTGTTACAGTCAGGGCATGTTGGGCTTCAAGCCTGGCTCTGATCAGGTCCTTGCTGAGCACAAAGAGCTGGGAGGATGAAAGGCTCCTGTCCCACTGCTTCCCCGGGTCTGGGAAGGACTCAGCACATCCTAAATATTGAGTTATCCAGCAGCAGCAGCAGAGCGAAATAAATTGGATTGCTTCAGGTAAGAGGGTTTGATCCAGCTAAATAAAAATCATATTAATCATATTAACCCCGGTGGGAGACACCTGGCCCAGGAGCAGGGCAGGGGTGCAGAGCCCTGAGCCTCCTGCACGGCAGCTGAGAAAACCTAATTATCTTTGCTTCCCTTCTTGCTTAAGGTTAAGGTTAGACAATGAAAAATTCCAGCTCTGGGAGTGATGTGGGAGACCATTTGCATGATTTTAATTGCATCATTTTGAGCCAGGGCCTTTCCTGGGGTGGATGTGAGCACTGCTCACTGATGGTGATTTACTGCCCGACCTCAGCCTGCTGCCCTGGGGGCACAGAAAGCACAAAGGAGAGCTAAAAACACTCCAGTTCCTTGGGTCCCTGTGCAGGAATCTTCCATCAGCTGCTGCTGGGGAGTTTGCCCAGGGCTAGATGGGAATGGTGCTGGCCCAGTCAGAGAGCAGCATTCCTGTCACCTTGTTCTTTTAAGTTCTTCTAAGCCTTCTGATGTTTACATTCTTGTAATGAATTTTCTCTCACACTTTATGTAAATAATTATTGTTTTACATTCTTTTCTGGAGGAGGAGAAATGTGATGGACTGTTGGTTTGTCCAGTGTCATTGGAGAGGTGGCACTGTCACCCTCCAATCCACTGTCACTTTTGAGAAATCTATAAATGCTGGAGTCAGAAAATAAACTTCCCTTCTTTTTACCTTGGAGGTTCCAGCGTGCGTGTCGTTTTCTTTCGTGTCCTAGAGTGACATATTCCCAAAGCTGTCCCTGCACCCAGGGGCCTTTTCAAATCCCCTCTTCCATGCTGCAGCTGGCTGTGTGCCAGAGCTGCTGTGGCCACCCCAAATCTGCTGCAGGTGACCTCAGACAGCACAGGACACAATTTGCTCTGGGGTGTAGAGCCTGCTTCTGCCACAGCAGGAGCTCTGCAGGGATGGAGATGGCCCTGCTGAGATGGATATGGCCCTGCTGAGGGTGGAGATGGCCCTGCTGAGGTGGAGATGGCCCTGCTGAGGTGGAGATGGCCCTGCTGAGGGTGGAGATGGCCCTGCCAAGGTGGAGATGGCCCTGCTGAGATGGATCTGACCCTGCTGAGGCGGAGATGGCCCTGCTGAGGTGGATCTGGCCCTATGAGGATGGAGATGGTCCTGGGAAGGTGGAGATGGTCCTGCTGAGATGGATCGGTGCTGCTGAGGCAGAGATGCCCCTGCTGAGGGTGGAGATGGCCCTGCCGAGATGGTGATGGCCCTGCCAAGGTGGAGATGGCCCTGCCGAGATGGCGATGGCCCTGCTCAGGTGGAGATGGCCCTGCTGAGGCGGAGATGGCCCTACAGAGATAGATATGGCCCTGCTGAGGGTGGAGATGGCCCTTCTGAGAGGGATCTGATCCTGCTGAGGGTGGATCTGGCCCTGCTGAGGTGGAATGTCCACTGTCCAGATGCACAGTCACCAGCAGATGCACGGCTGCAGAGCCAGCAGGGCATGCACTGTGCTGGCTGTTACTCAAATCCCACTTTTAGGCTACAAACTGCACGTGGCTTTGGGCAAGCCACATTTCAAAGTGCTTTACTTGCCTAAAAATAATCTCCAGAAACAGGCCTACGCCTTTCTTAATTTTTTTTTTTTTCTTATCCAAAGCCCCATCTGTGGAAGCAAAACGCTCTTCAGATGGTCAAACAGAAAGCAGGATAATCTCTACCCATCCCATTCCACCTCTGCAAAACTCCTCCATGGGGCACCAGGGTGGAGAAACTGGAGTGTAAAAGGCTGCTCTGAGCAGAGACACAAGGGATGGGACCTTCCCAGCAAGCACCAAACAAAGAGGAGATGAGGCAGAGGGGCAGGCAAAGCCAGCCTGGCAAAGACTTACATTCAGCTTTGGCACAGATGAGGCAGGCAGTGGTGCAGTTAAAGAAATTCAGGATTCCTGCCACGGCCACGCTGATGTCGGTGTTGCTGGGGTGCAGGTTGAGGGTGGTGAACCTCTGGAGCTGCAGCTTCAGGAACTCCTCTGGAGCCACTTTGAAGTGAGGAACCTGAGCGTGGGGAGGAGGAAAGAAAATATAATTAAAGAGGAAGTAGAAATGAAAACAAGTAAATCTGTGGTGAAGGGCCTGTGGTGTGAAGCACACAGCAGGCAGAAAGTGGAATATCCCAATAAAATTGCAGAAGCAACACTGGAGTCAAGAGGGGAGGGTGGGACTCGTGCAGCAGCAGAGGAAAATAATTATCACAGCAACGAAAAGCCATGGGAAGGAGTGGAGCAGGAAGAGTCTTGCTGAGCCACTCAGAGAAAGGCATCGGGGACTGTGATTACAGCACAGGAAACCTTCCCTGAGAGTTCAACCTAATTAGCTGGGGCACTAATTGTGGCTGGGCCCAGCCTTCGTTGGGGAAGGATGCCGTGCAGGGACACAGGGATCATCCAGGGCCCTGAACCCAGCCCTGCCTGCTGCATGGAGATGCCACCAGGTAATTAATTAGCAGAGATGAAGGCAAGAACAAGATGACCCCGCGCTGGCGAGGCTGGGCAGAGGAGGAACAGCTGCAGCAGCCAGAAGCTTTGGGCATTTCTGACCAACAGGAGGGCTGGAAACACCAGTGCTGGGCTTGTCACGGATGCAGCAGAGCAGCAGCTGGAGCAGGATGTGCTCCAGGGGGAATTTTGGGAGCTGGGGAGCCACAGCACCCGCTCGGAGGGAGCTCTGCTGCACATCCTGCAGACTATAGCCACATTTCTCTTCACAGAGAAAAGCAAGGCACAGTTCTTCCCAAGAATATTGCTGGGTTTCACATTCTCTGAACCTCAGAGAAAGAAAAAAACAATTCTTATCTCATTTGCTGTGCCTGTGCTGTGCCAAAGTAGAATGCAGTATGGAGATTGTTTAACCAGAGGGATGGTGTTTTGTTTCCTTGGCCTGTCAGTGTGTGTGTGTGGGGACTGTCGGCTGACAGTCATGAGATGCTGTGCAGTTGGAGTTGAGTTGATGTCACCCTGATTTTTTAAGATTTTTCTAAGCCTTCTGATGTTTACATTCTAGTAATGAACTTTCTCTCACACTTTATGTAAATAACTTATTGTTTTGCATTCTTTTATGGAAGAAGAGAAATTTGATGGACTGTTGGTTTGTCCAGTGTCATTGGAGAGGTGGCACTGTCACCCTCCAATCCACTGTCACTTTTGGAAATCTATAAATATTAAAGTCAGAAATTAAAAGTACCTTTTTCACCTTGGAAGAGCAGTGTGTCTGTGTCATGTTATTTCGTGTCCTATAGCGACAAGTTGAGTGCTTGGCAGATTCAGTTTGGATGTAATGTAACACAGTGTAACGTAGTATAGAATAATAAAGTAATTAAAGAATAAAGTAATTAATTAAAGCAATTATTTAATTTTTAATTAAATAATAAAGTAATAGTATAGAACAATAAAGTAATTAATTAGCCTCCTGCTAAGATGGAGTCCTCCTCATCATTCCTCCCTGCAAACACTGTAGCAGACCACGGATGGCACGGCTGGGCAGACACACAGCCCGAGCCCAGACACTGCAGGCTCGGCCTGATAAAGAGAGGCAATCTTGTTTTTCTTCTGCCGGGTGAATTATTTTGGAAGAAACAGAAGTCAGAGGAAGGGAAACATCTGCCACAGCTTTGTTAGCAGCGTGTCAGGTCCTCTCTGCCTCCGTTATTGGTCCTTCCGAAGCCATCAGCCCCTGCCTCCCACCTCTCCCCTCCTGGGAGAGCCTATTAGCAGCTCATGAAGGCTGCTTTATTGACAGCAGGAGCTGCTGGTTAGCAGAGGGGAAGTTAAGGAGTAATAAGCTGCTATCTGCCTTGATTCCAGCCCGCAGCCCTCACCCAGGGAGGGAAGGGTGGATTCCCATAACCAGAGCCGACAGCTCCTGGCAGCATCCTGATCACTGCTGGGAGGGATGCAGACCCAGCCTGGGACCTGGAGAGAGATGCAGGCACAGGGGGAGGAATCCACCAGCACATCCGGGCTGAGCACAGACTGTTCACCCCTGCCCTCATCCCCAGGAACCTTTCATCACCATCCTCTCCTGTCCAAGAGCTCTGCCCCAGTGCAATTCCCCTTTCTGGACAGGGGAAAGGGATTCTTGTGTGGAAGGAATCCACCAGCACATCAGGGCTGAGCACAGCCTGTTCACCCCTGCCTTCATCCTCAAGAACCTTTCATCACCATCCTCTCCTGTCCAAGAGCTCTCTCCCAGTGCAATTCCTTTTTCTGGACAGGGAAAAAGGAATTCTTTGGGCATGAGAGGGGTAACACAGGCAGGTTCATCCCCCAGAACATCAGTCTGGTGCTCGGTGCTTGCCTGGGGACACTGCTTCCTTTCCCACTGAGGGGTGGCTGCAGGCACAGGGGGCTCTGCCTGGGCTCCTGGCCCCAGCTGATGCTCCTGGGATGTAAATGTACAGGTTTACATCTCGTGGAGAGAACCAAACACCTCAGGAGGGCACCAGCACTCACCTGTCCTTTCTGAAGAAAAAAAATAAATCAGGAGCCTCAGATCAGAAACTCGGAATGAATTTGAATTTCTGAGGAAAAACACTTGCACATTTACCTTTCCTGGGAAGGAGCACACATCCAGGACATTTAGCAAGAGAAAACACAACAAAACACCCCCAGGACACCCCTCCTGCTGCAGCCCCGTGCTTCAGGGCTGGAGGATCCCTTCCAGCCCCAGGAACAACAACCAGCACTCATTTGTGGATGCAAATTATTTACAGTGCTCAGTCCCAGCCTCCTCTGTTGGAAGGCTGGACTCCAGAGAGAGCCACTAAATGGCTGAGAGATGTTATCTGCCTTTAAAGGGATGAACTACGAGAAGAGAACTCAATTTCTTCTCCAGAGTGCAGAGCCAGATCCGTGTAGGAAGGTTTGAGGCTTATAAAATATTAAATCCAGCACATAGCCTGGACACAGATAAAAAAAAGGGCTTGAACTGATGGAACAGCAGTAAACATAAAGCTCCCCAAGGATGTGCACAAAGTCACAGCGGGAGATTTGGGTTGGCAGCCAGCAGGGTGAGCTTTGGGTTTGCAGCCCTCAGTCAGTGGGGATGTGGTGACGAATGTGAGGAGCAAAAGGGGGTGCAGAGAGGAAAAGGCAGGCAGAAAAAGGCAGCAGAGGGAAAAGGAAGACATTTCAAAAGTCTGTGCATTAGGAGGAGGGGTGATCAACCATGCTGTCCACTCTGACCATCACAAAGGAACTTCTCCACTTACCTCTTTCTCCCCACAGATGTTGCTGATAATGGAGCTGGAGGCTGGGCTGGAGGAAGGTCCCAGGACTCCCACCACGCCTTTGGGGAGGATCTGGCACACTGTGGGCAGCAGAGACAGGGAACAGAGATCAGAATTCATCCCAAATTCCAGCAGACAGTGCTGCTCACCTCAGTAAGGACATGACCTTATCTCCTTCACACAACACCCTCTGTGCCATTTCCATCCCCAAAATCCCTTTATTCCCCCTGAAGCACTGTCACCCTGCCTGTGGTACCCTCTATCTTCCCCCAGCCTTATAAAACCCCTCCTAAACTCTCTCCTAAACCCCAGAATCATCATCTCTGACCCATTTCTGTCCTCTGGACATAAACACGAACTAAACTTTATGGGAGATGCTACACACAGCAGTGACCTGGCTTCAAAGCATCAAACAGACTTGTAGCAATTTCTCCCCTCATCTTTGCAGAGTTCAGTGGTAAAAACAAGGATTTCATTGCTGGTTTTCATTTGTTTTGTGTTGTTTTCTTCCTGGCAGTAGTTCAATCTTCTGGCTCCCTGCCACCAAGGTTAGCAGAACCATAAAGAACACCTGACAAACTGAAGTTAAATCTCTTCCTGGGTTAAACTGCAAGGCTTTTTTTTTGGTCCTTTTAATTCACAGCACAAATCCAGCTGAATTTCACTGCCAGGAGCAGCCCAGCTGGTGTCACCTCCCTGCTGCCATCCCCTGCATCACTCAGAACCCTTCCTGCAGAGGAGAAAAAATCTCCTGAACAGGAGGAGAGAGCCCCTCATGCCTCAATCCCTGAGCTCCAAAAGCCTCCTGAGAGCCGCCCTGCCTCAGCATCCTCACACCCTCAGCTTTTTCCCCAGACAAAACCACATTTGCTCAGCTGGAATCTTTCTGGAGGGCAGGAAGGAGGCACCAAAAGGGAGAAAAGAGGCACAAAACTCTTGTAAGTTCTGGCCAGAGCAAGCTCACAACAGTGGTTTGGTTTTTCTGTGTGTGAAAACCAAACCACTGCATCCCAAAGCTGAGATTTCAGCTCTCATCACTATCAAACCTGCCTCTTCCCCTGGCTTGCACCTCAGAGCAGCTCTTATGAGAGTTGTGAAGAGTTATTTGAGCTGGAAAAATTCAAATTTGAGCACGGTGTTTTTGGTAGTAAAGTGAATTGATCATCAAAACTGCTGAGCTACAGATCAGAGACGGGGTTTTAGTGACTTCGAATCTTTAAATCAAGGTTGGAAGTGGAATAAAAGCTCACTGTGCTTGGGTTGTGTTAGAACAGCAAGTTTGGGGTTGAGTGTGGGGTTTGGGAAGTGAACATCTACAGTCTCAAATTTTCCCAGAGAAGTTGTGGCTGCCCCTGGATCCCTGGAAGTGCCCAAGGCTTGGAGCACCCTGGAGGTTGTCCCTGCCCATGGCAGGAGGTGGCACAAGATGATCTTTAATGTTCCTTTAATGCCAATCCAAACCATTCTGTGATCTCTGGCCTCAGACTCCTCCACAGCCTCATGACTGGAAAATGAGGCCCAAATCTCATTTAATTTGTCGCTTTGGGGAATTGGTTTTGCTTCTCTTTTGAAGGAAAAAAAACTCCTTATCCTCGCCAGTCCCCGCTGATTGCTCCAACTTCTTACAGAAAGTGCTCATGAAATGCAAACATCTCCTCTTGGGTTTTCCTTCCTTCTCAGCTCCCTCTCCCTCCAACAACTCAATCTCCTACGGAATGAGGGATATTTTTCTGCAGCATCTTCAAAGGAATCCAGGGCTGGCTTCTCCTCTGTGCTTAAAAAATTTACAGGCACTTAAACCTCTCCAGAAGATCCTTTTTAAATAAGGAGCACCAGCCTGAAAGCCTCGCCTGCTGCCTCAGCAGCACTCGTCAGTCCCTCTCAGCTCTGCCATTCAGCATCCATGAGGCAGGAGCTGCTCCAAGCTCTCCCTTTTTCACAGGTCACCAGGACAAAATTCCTGGGGAAAATTTCGTTGTGCCGTGCAGGGGAAAGTTTGGGGAGTGATTTTCTTCTGGTGCCTGCCAGCAGGAACAAAAAGTGGGTTAAGTAGCCATAGCAACAGGGTTGCAACAACTGGAGGAAGAAAAAGACCTGGCTTATCACTACCAGGGGGAAACATCCACAAAAATGAAGGAAAATGAATGGAAACAAAGTGGAGGTGCCTGAGGCAAAGGTTTGACCACATTTGGAAAGCTTCTCTTGTAACCCAAGCACATTTCCTGTTTCAGAGCATTACCTGATGCTGTCAGGTCCCCACAGGGAGAAAAGGCTCGACCTTGCTGCTGCCATGGGCAAACACACAAGCATTTGCAGGATGAGGAAATGTTGGTCCTGTATCCAAAATCCATCCAATAATCCCAAGGACTCTAACTATGGATAATTCCAGACCCCCTGCCACTCAAATCCCTTCATACTCCAACACCTGGGCACCACAAAAGCTGTGGGCTGTGCAGGGCCCTCTGTGAGTGCTGCAGGCTCCAGCAGCTCCGAGTTTCTGTCCCAGTTTTGCTGATGTTTAGAATTCAGGGTCTCAAGAGTGCTGGAATTGAAGTGGCATCACTTTAAGAACCTCTTTACCACTGACCATCCTGGATCAGGTGCGTGTTAAGGGCACAGGGACCCTCCTTTTGCACAGCAGGGCAGTGTCCAACCATTTCCATGAGTGTATTTGGGAATTAAACCCAGGTTTGGCACTTGGGACACAGCAAGGTATTTTTTTAAAGGAAGGCAGAACTGCAAACTTATTTTTGAACATGAAAAAGCAAAACAAATGAGGAGCTCTTGGTGATAAATGTATGCACATCCCTGCAGACATGGCCAGAGTGTCTTTCACTTCCTGAGATCCCAGGAAAACATTTCCATGAATCCTGCCCTGTTCAAAGCAGGGCTGAAAGGTTCCTCCAGAGAGAGGATCCACCCCTGGGGCAGAATCATCTCATTCAGAGCACAGAGATACCCGAGCAGGGTTTCAAACAGAATGCACAGATGGTTCCTTCTTATAATTCAAAATAAATCAGCAGGGAAAGAGTGGAAACACCTCAGGAGCTCCCTGATTGCAAAACACAGCCGAGATCTCCAGGGACAGGGACTGGTCATGGGATTCTCAGAGAGAAAACACCAAGTGCTTAAAGAAAAGGGGTTCTAGAGAGGCTCCTGGAGCATCCCTTGTGCTTCCTGACAGGAACCTGCCACCAGAGAGGTCTGGAGAGGCTGGGGATGCCCTGGATGTGTCCAAGGCCAGGTTGGACAGGGCTCGGAGCAAGCTGGGATAGTGGAAAATGTCCCTGCTCATGGCAAGGCATGGAACAAAATGATCCTTAAGGTCCCTTCCAACCCCAGCCATTCCATGATTCCCTGATAACCAGAGCAGGCTGAAATCCCCCAAAACAGTGGGACAGGTAAAAAACAACACATGGGAGCCAACACCACAGAAAGGACCCTTTGGAAGGACACTTTGAAATCAAAATCTCCAATTCTCCAGCTGCTGCCTGACCTGCCCTGGACTTTCTATTCTTATTTTTGAGAATCTTGAAAACTTCCCCGAAGGTGAAGAAGGGAAGGGAAAGGAAAGGAAAGGAAAGGGAAAGGGAAAGGCACTTCGAAATCAAAATCTCCAATTCTTCAGCTGCTGCCTGACCTGCCCTGGATTTTTCCATTCTTATTTTTGAGAATCTTGAAAACTAAAAGGGAAAAAGTGCAGAATTTGGAAAGAAAGGAATTCAGACGGAGAGCTGGGTCCAGGCTGGGAGCGGCAGCAGCAGTTCCAGAACCCAGATCAAATTCCAGAAGAGTTTCCAGCCTCCCTGTGGGATTTAGTAAACCAAAATGTGCTCATTTTGGGAGACTGGTTACTTTAAACTGGATTCACAACAAAGAAGAGCTTAAAAGGCTGAGGAGGCCAGAGGGGACAGGGTGACAAGCAGGGAAATCTGTCCTGCCCCGACATCAAAAGGAACAAGGTGGTTTAGATAAAGACAGGATTAAACAAGTCATTTTGGAGCTGCACAAAAGGAGCCGGAACATCAAACACAAAGAGAGAACAGGTTTTCCTTGAAAAAGCAGAAAAAATAAAGGCTCTGCTCACAACTTCTCATTGAAACCTCCTTAAAATCACACAGGAACAGCCAAAGTTTGTGTTCATTCATAAGGCTGGAATAGCAAACCAGGCATGAATGTGATGGATTGACTGGGATTTTACCTGCTGGAGCAGCTCAGATTTTGGGGCTCTCTTACATTAAAACACCTGAGTCAGTCAGAAGGGAAAATGGGAGAAAAACAGCTCCAGAAAAAAATATAATATAATATAATATAATATAATATAATATAATATAATATAATATAATATAATATAATATAATATAATATAAGTAATATAATATATGTAATAGAATATATGTAATATAATATAATATACAAAAATTAATACAAAATATAAAATATAAGATAAAATAAAATAAAATAACCCTGCCTCCTCAAATAAAAACCTTACTCCCCAAAATTCTTCCTTTTCCTGTATATAGAGTATGTGGTGTAATCCCAGCACTCCCAGATCTGTCAGCTAAGCATGCAGCTGTGATATTTAAGAGTGAATCAAAGAGTGTGAAATGTGAGAACAGTATTAAACAGCTGTAAACAGCTCTGCAGTCACAGGTTAAAACATCTCAACAGTTTTTATTAATATTGTGTGTCATAACAAAAACCAGCAATGTATTGAAGCATTTGAAAGCCATGAAAGCCTTGAAATTTAAGTTCAGGAATCTGATTTTCCTCTGCCACCAGGATAAATCAAGAATAACATCAGTGACATTAATAGCAGAGCTATACAGAATTCAGATTATTCCTTTCCTAAGAAAAGCTTCCAGACATTTTTTTTCCCACCGAAGAAAAGGCAAATAACACACTGCAAAATTTACCAAAATCAAGTCAATTTGCTGCAATTTCAACTCTAAAAATCCAAGTAAAGAAAACAAAGAAAATCACCCCAAGGTGAAAACTGGAAATGGGAGATGTCTCCCTCATTTGCCCTGTTTCCAGTTTCTCCCCAAACACAACATTTGCTGAAATTTCTTGCATAATATTTCATTCTCAGCCAATTAATATTCCTCTGCTGGAGAAACCTTCCAGGAGAAGAATTCCTGAGCAGTGTCACAGGCTGAAAATAAGGCAGAAATCCCTCTGGTGATCCTTACAGCAGCTCTGGGGTCACTGCAATCGAGTCCGTTCCCCAAACAGAGCTACAGGCCAGGAATGCTGCTGCAAGCAGGATATTGATGAGGAAGGATCAAAAATTGGGCTAAAAATGCCACTTTTGGATACTCAGAGAAACTGTGGCTACCCCTGAACCCCTGGAAGTGTCCAAGGACAGCTTGGGATGGAGCTGGATGAGCTGAAAATCCCTCCCAACCCATTCCAGTCTGGGATTCTGGGATTCCATGGCAATTCCCATCCTTTCTGCAAGGTGTGGCCAGCTAAATTGGATCTTAATTGGTCTGGCCAGAAAAATTGGATCTTAATTGGTCTGCTCAGCTAAGTTGGATCTGCCCTAATGCTGTGCCAAGTTAGGGGAGAAGAGTGGACAACCGGGATGGGGAAGAGCAGGAAAACGTTTAAAAATGGAGGGAACAAAGCAGTGGAGAAGGGCTGGGTCCCTGAGCTGGGCTCAGTGGTGACAGGCTCTATAAATAGAGCCCAGGTTCTTGCTGAGATCTCTTTATTAAGTGCACATTTCTATAAATAGTGCCAGTGCTGGTGCAGGAAATGAAGGAGCGATGTGCTGATGCCACAGCCCCACGGAGCTGCTCTGCCAGCTCACCTGCAGATCCCTGAGCACTGCTGGGCAGAAAAGCCACCAAAACTCCAGGAAAAACTGGCCTGCCCCAAAGCACAACACCCTGCCACACTTTTTGGGGATGGCCTGCAGATCACACAGTCATGGAATGCAGAATCATTAGGAAACGAATGTAAAATCCATATTATTTAAAATTATTCCTCCAGCTTTCTAGAGCTAACTGGTAATAAAAAATTATAGCCCTCTCTTGAACTCTAAAGGTCGGCTTAAAAATTATTTTAAAAGGAGGATTTCCTATTCCAAAGGGTTTTCCCTCTTACAGGAAAAAAAAAAAAATAGCTACCAGAGACCTTCAGGGTTCCTTTCAAACTCTGGGACACTGACCATCAATTTCTTTTTTATTTACCAGCACAGAGCTGGCATATTGGGCACCCAGAGGAACAACTCTAATAAAGAACAGGTTCATCCAGGGATTTGGAAGTGACATGGAAAATCTGCTGCTCTTTGGAAATTAGCTCTTCTTCATCCTTATGATTTCAAACATCACTTGAGAAACTTCACTTGGTGTAAATAAATCTGCTGCCAATCTCAAACTCCAGGAAGAGCTGTTATGTTTGCTGACACACAGGATTCCACAGGGTTTTAAAAACAACTTAATTGCACCCAACTTGCCCGAGAGTCTCTTGTTTGCTCAACATTAAACTCTTGACAAAGGATCAGCATTACCCCTGTTTACTGACAGGCAGATTAAAGGAAATTATTTGTCCCAAGCCACTGAGTGGTGGCAAAGCTTACTGGGGGCAGGGATCCTCTCAGTCCATGCCTGAGCCTGCACTGGCACACTTCATTCACCTCGAATGAAAACTGCTCTGTGCAAGAAGCAGAGATGGGTTTTTTCTCTCTGTTCCCCTTTGACGGCCACACAATCACAAGTTCAGAGTGCCAGATGGCTCCTGGGAGGAGAGCTGGGCTCTCTGGTGATGCCTCACGTCTGAGCTTTTCTATTTTTCAGATTCTGTGCAGCTTCAGTGTGTGGGTCTGGGTTCACATCAGGGGATGGGGAGCTCTCTGCACAGAGCAGGGACACAAAACAATTCCTGCTCCAGCTGGGCACCTGGGGTGGTACTCACTGGTCTCTGCTGTCTCGTACTCGCTGTCCCTCAGCAGCTCGAAGATGTCCACCTCCACCCTGGCCTTGCCCGCCCGCTCGGGCGCGCGGTTGATGCGGTTCTTGGCCAGGGTGATGGAGAGCCTCTCCCCTCTGCTGCACTCCATGGGGTCATCCAGGATGGCAGCTGCGGGGGAAAAAGGTGTAGGCACGGGTTAGGTTTGGGGTCTCCACTCCCCTCCCCATCCCCATGATGCCTCAAGGTTTAGCTTTCATATTTTTCACATTCTGCACTGCATTTATAACTCTGAACTTCATATCAAGTGCCAGAAGTTCTCCTGACAGCTCAGTCACACAGAACAATCCTTTTCCAGCCCCAAAAAGTGCAAACAGGGAATGGAGGAGAGCAACCTGGGAGGATAGGACTGCACCACCTGGAGCTGGAATTGGACAATGAACCCAATATGGAAATGGACTAAAACTAATAAAAGTGTGAAAACTCGTGACCCAGGGTCCATCTTGGTTGTAGCCTTGGCCAGGCTCCTGTACTGCCCAAGGTGTGTCCTTTGAAAGCCTTTGAATAAATCCCTGCTTTAATCCTTTAACTCTGCCCAGCCTCTGCTCCAGGTGGCCTCTCCAGGCATCACCCACACTCCCTGCTCCCTGCAGGAGCTCTGTTTGTGCTCCTGTCACCACCAGAGCTGGCACATCCCCCTTCCCACACGTGGCCTTTCCCGCTGCTTCTCCCACTCCCCAGGTCCTGCCAGACAGGTGGGTGGTGAAATCTCTGCAGAGAAATCTCTGTTTTACCTGCTGGAATGCCACAGCACAGCCACCCACGCTGCCAGGCTCCCAGCACCCACTGCCACACAGGCTGGCTGCTCCCAGAGAGGCACATCCAGCTGCCCAAACCCACATCCAGGCTCTGCCTCACACCCTAACAAAGGCAGAATGTCCCCAAAAACCCCGAGATGGTCCCTTTGTGGGAGCACTGATAGGGTGCTGAGGGGCTGGAATATTTCAGGAAGAGCGTGGGCAGCCCTGGGTGGGGAGGGACAAATATTTTTTAAACAGAATGCTCTTGGCTCTTGATCTCAGCTGCTGGGGCTGCCCACTCAGGTCTGTGGCAGGCAGAGGGAGGTGGGGAGGGGTATCACCTTTGTTTTCTGGAGGAAAGGAAAAAAGGATTCAAGGGTGGAGCATTCAGGCCAGAATTTCATGAGGAGCTGGCACCTCAGTGGGTTTATCCTTGCAGACAGGAGGTGCCCCCCAGAACGCAGCTTTTCCACTTCACCTGGGGGAAATCAGCACTGCTGTTTGCTCTGTGCATTAAAAAAATACCAATTCTTATCTTCCCTCCCCAAAATATCCCTCCACAGGGAGAGGTGCTCTTCAGCACTGCTCAGGGGCTGGGTCAGGTATTGGGAGCAGAGCAGGGATTAGTGGGGGTCTGCTGGGTCATGGCAGGGAAAAGGGAACTCCCTGGAGCAGGCAGGGTGCCCTGCTGGAGCTTTGGAAAAGAGAAGGAAAAGGGAGGGAGGGAGGGAGGGAGGGAGGAAGGAAGGAAGGAAGGAAGGAAGGAAGGAAGGAAGGAAGGAAGGAAGGAAGGAAGGAAGGAAGGAAGGAAGGAAGGAAGGAAGGAAGGAAGGAAGGAAGGTCCTTGTGCTGCAGCAGGTTTGGGGCTGGTTTTTTTTGGTGGGGAAAAGCATAAATGAGCTGGGAAGTGAAATAAAGCCCATTAGGGAGATACCCTGAGTCCTGAGAGCAAGGCACAAAGGACACAGATTTGGAAGGCAGAGCTGGCTGGGCCCAGAGCAGCACAGGGATGCTGAGCTGGAGGTGGGACTGAGGGACCCACAGAGGGATCTGGGCTGTGCCTCAAGGTCCTCATTGCTCCCATCACCCTTCCCTGCCACCAGGGAGCCCCCAGCACAGCCCAGACCCCCTGGCTGGAGCCCAGGCTCCTTTTCTTTGGTTTTCCTAAGACTTTGGCCCAGCCCCAAAACTCAAAGCACAGCCTGATTTCAACCCCCACCTCTCAGGGCTTTTTTCCCACACCAGCCTGATTTACTTCATAGCCTGAAAATACTCAACAATTCCTTCTTTTCCTTTCTTTTCCTAGTTTTATGAGTTAAATTGAGTTTATTTTAATCTCATTATGCCACAAAAAGGGTTGTGCTTTCCTCCAAGGCCAGGAGCAGGGGTTTTAGAATATTAACATGGCTGATGACTTCTTTTAATTAGAACAAAGCTGGGAGAACAATTTGCCACAAACTCCACTTTTCCAGGAGAGAAGCAGAGGAGAAAGTTCTTGTAGAAACTTTTCCTGCAGCCCTGCTCCCAGGGAAGGGTAAATCCATGTGCTGAGCCTGATGAACTTCACCAAATGCAGCTCCTGCTCAGGTGCTGACTCTGTGAAATTAAAGACCAGCAGTGAGGGAGTGGATGTCAGCATTCACAGACTCATTAGTTTCTAATTTAAAGCTTCAAAATCACTAAACTGGGGAATGTTTTCAAGTATTTTCCTAATTGGCAGCTTTCAAACAAAATCCACTTCCACTAATGCACAGTTAAGTGATTTTTAAGTGTAAAAATAGTCAAAACCAAAGCATTTTGAATAGTTTCCTCAAGCCAGCTAAGCAAAAAAAAAAAAAAAAAAAATGTGCATAGGGCTTATTATAATTTCTGTTCAGGATGGGATTTTCTAGTCTTATTTTTGAGAATCTTGAAAATTTCCCTGAAGGTGAAGGAAAGGAAAGGAAAGGAAAGGAAAGGAAAGGAAAGGAAAGGAACCCAAAATAACAACAGCAAACTCTTTTACCTACTCAGCTGTGATTGAATTTGAATTTTGGGATCAAATACAATAGGAAGTGGAAAGTGCAGAATTTGGAAAGAAAGGAATTCAGACGGAGAGCTGGATCCAGGCTGGAAGTGGCAGCAGCTGTTCCAGAACCCAGATCAAATTCCAGAAGAGTTTCCAGCCTCCCTGTGGGATTTAGTAAACCAAAATGTGCTCATTTTGGGAGACTGGTTACTTTAACTAAATATTAAACCAGCCCCCAGGACTAGGGAGGTAATGAGGCTGAACTAATCTTTATTTATTAAAGCTGGAGGATTAAAAAAGGTCATTTAATGTTTAAAAAAGGTTGGCTTTAAAGCTTCATGGCTCGGGACACTGTGCCAAAGCTCATCTAACAGTGGCATCATTAAGTATGAACGAAAATCTTTATAGAAATTCCCTTTCATCTCCTCCTGTCTATTAAACAGGGGAAGATGCATCAAGTAAATCTTTAATCCTGAAGACTTACAGCAACGTCTTTGAACTTTGTTGCCCTCAAAAATCACTTCTATCTTCCCCAGCGTGATAAATGTCACTGGTCTAGACTGCTTCTCCATGAATGATGAGAAAAATATTGCAGAGGGAGCCAGGAGCACCTGGACCTGCAGTGCCTGGCTCAGGGCTGCTCAGGATTTCCCAGGCACTGAGTGAAGCCACCAGGGCTGAGCTTTTCTCAGGAAGCACATCTCTTCCCATGGGATGTTCCAATTTTGACAGGAAAAACATCCCTTGTACTGTAATAATTAGCTTTTTTATTCCATTTACTCAGATTTCCCACACAATTAAGACAAAATCCATGCTCCAGAAGCACCAGAGTTTATCCCTTTGGAGGAGCTGGGTAATAATCAATCAAGGTAGCAACAAGTGACTTCCACTGCAAATCTCCATCAGACACATTTCAAAGGCAATGCTCAAAGTTAAATTTAACAGCAAGAAGCAGGAAAAATAAAGGTATAATTGGGAGCCAGAGAAATGCAAGGGATGGGACGGCACCTTCTGAGAAAAGCAGATTTTAGTGACTGTCCTGCAGGGATTTTTCAGCCTTCAGGGATGGGGGTGAACAGGAATTGGGGCTCTCTGCTGAGGCAGGAGCTGCACAAGGAGCTCCCTGTGCTTCCCCATGCCCCACATCCCCAAGCCCACACAGACTGGGGCCATGTGGCCACAGCCCTTCCTGAGCACAGCCAGCTGCGGCAGCAGATGCTCAAGCCCTTCTGCCTCCTCCTTCCAGGGGAGGAAGGCCATCCATTTCTCACCCCCCCAGCCCAGCTGTGCCTCTCGGTGCCAAAGCAGCGAGGCAGGCAGGGCTGTCACTGGTGTGCCCCTGAGCTGGGTGAGACACAGCCACCCTGTGACTCAGAGCCCAGGCAGCTCAGCCAGCGCTGAAATTCACTCCTAGCTGGTCCAAGCAGGGCTGAGGAGCAGAAAGGCTCCATCCTTCATCCCCCAGGGCCGTGTGGCTCCTGGAGTGCTGCCTGCCCCAGCCAGACTCCCAGCATATGCACCCTGGCAGGCTGAGCCCGCTGCAGCCAGCTCCAGCAGCGCTCCCCAGCCCGTGATTCATCCCGAATCTAATGAAGTCACATTTTTATAACAATAACAGGGAACAGATGCCACTGCGAGGATTACACACAGCCACAACAAACTGTGTGCAGCTGACCTTTCCCCATTCAAGGCTTTTCTTTCTTTTTTAATTTACATTTTCTCAGATGTTTTTTATGCCTTTGAAATGGAAAGTCATATCCAGAAACGCGATTTCCATCTCAAGGCATCTCTTGAAAACGTGTATTTAACACAGCACTGGCTTGGTAAACAGGATATTTCACTGTTCATAACCTGTCCCTCCAAGTGAAAAACACATAAAGCTACCTGTAATATTTCCTAAATGTCCCTAGTGACAGGTTAAGATCACACCTACAACCTCTTCTGATTTATGTTGTAAACACAGCCACAGGATCAGTGAGGTTGGAAAAGACCTCTGGGATTATTAAATCCAACCTGTGCCCAGTCCAGTCCTTCCCTGGACACCTCCAGGGATGGGCACTCCAAACCTCCCTGGGCATCTCCTTCTAATATTTAACAACCTTTCCATGAGGAAATTCCTGCTCATTCCACCCTGAGGCCGTTCCCTCTCCTCCTGTCCCTGTTCCCTGGAGCACAGCCCGACCCCCCCGGCTGTCCCCTCCTGTCAGGAGTTGTGCAGAGCCACAAGGTCCCCCCTGAGCCTCCTTTTCTCCAGGCTGAGCCCCTTCCCAGCTCCCTCAGCCTCTCCATGTCCCTCATTCCATGAGCAGCCCAGAACTGGACACAGAATTCCAGGTGGCTCCTGCTGGCCACGCCATTCCCCA